ATTTTCCACAATTCTACTTAGTCTTAAGGCAGCAGTTAACTTAGCTTTATAGGCTGACACTAGATCCAATTTCGGGTTGTAGATACCATGGGAAGATTTCAAGAAATTACTCTAAGGATTCTCACATTGGTTGCGATCCAGTTTCTTTCTTTTGTTACGTGATTTGGTGTGTGTGCGTATGAAAAATTTGAGCATTTTAAAAGACGACTGTATAAAGTGTAATTCCACTATGTGGGGGGGCTCATGTAGTTCCTGGATGGGAAAAGTCAACATCAAATTTCAGGCCTGTTCAATGACAACCAAATTGGCAATCTACGTTTTTTTTCAATAAAGCCTCAGAACCAAACAATTCTGTGGACGTCAAGGGAAAAATGACCACAAAATGAAGGGAAAAATGTGATGTTTTCCACAATCACAAAGCTCTGCTGCTGTGCTGAATTCTTGAGACCATCTATAGCCCCTACCATTGCCATGAGGCTGGGTAAGTGAAGCTCACTGACACTGGCTCTGTTGAAACAATAAGGCCAAAATTGCCATTGTTGTTTCAAATGGTAAAACATTGCGTTTCAGTACTGTTTCATGTGATATCTCGCAAATTCACGAAATTGCTTTTCAGCCATTCCTCATGCGAACAAAGAGTGTAGACACCAGTGATTTTTATGAGCTTTGACCCAACCATTTCACTGCAGTTGCAAAGGGAGGGTGGTGAGGAAATTGAAATCACAATTTTGTATCAAATCGGTCCTGATGCATTGCATTTTTCACTCCACTGTCTCCTTAGCCAAGGCGGGAAAGTGTAGAAATGCAATCCATATGTTCTTGCAAAGTGAAACACACAACGATGCTGGAAGTCAACATTATTAGTCCTTGATCAGTCACTTCCTTCCCTTGATGTTTTTCCTCCCATCCCAGGAGCCATATGGCATTCAATCATCTCTATCCATATTTATTCTTATAACCCTCAATCACGTATCCTTTCAGATATTAATTCAGCCGTTTTGAAAGCTGTTAATCAACATAGTATTAACTTCTTTAGTTGGAAGTCTGTTCATATATTCACAGATCCATGGGGAAAATAAATTCTTTGTAACCTCAAGTCTTGCTTAAATCACATTACATTTGTCCCCATGTCCTTTAGTTCTGTACTGACAGCTCTGTTTAAACATTATCAATCCCTCTCCTGAATTAAGTTCCTTCTCACCCTTGACTTGTATCTTCATAGTCTCTTCGTAGAAGTGAAAATCTTATTTTCTAAAATATCCTAGTGATTTTTCTCACAATTCTCCAATGCATTAATGGCCTTTAGAAAGTAGGATTCCTAATTTGCATACTACAGTGCAATGCTGGGGGAGGGCTGCATTGTTGGAGATGCCATCCTTCAATGTGATGTTATACCAAGCTCCCGTTTGCTTATTCAGGTAGATGTTAAAGATCCCATGCCACTGTTCAAAAAGAGAAAGTAGTTTTTCCTCGTGTCAGACCCACAATTCCTCAAATAAAAATGGTCACTCACATCATGGCTTTTTTTTGGACGTTATATGCAAATTGGCTGTTGTATCCAAATACAAAATACAATCACTATACATTAGTGTAAAACCTGTGAAGCTCATTGAGATGTGCTCCCCTCATGAATTTAAAATGTTATATAAAATGTAAGAATCACTTTTTTAAAAAACAAGTATTCCAAATCTATCCTCACCAATGATCAGTACTTCATCCATTAAACAACCCCCTCTGCTACTTATTGCTCAAGCAGGGTTTGATCCAACTGATAGGTTACTGAAGAAGTCAAGTTTAAAGGTACTTTGGTTTACGAATGGGTGGGTGCTTACTTAATAGAAGAAACACAGGAATAATTAACAGTTCTGGAATAAATCTAATCAAAGTATTGATAATGCAGATGAGCTATTCTGATTGTGCTACTGACAGTGTTACTTCTGTTTTGAATTTACTGCTTCAGAAGGTTATCACAATAACACAGCCATAGGTAGATCAGCTGCAGTATAGGTGCAGTTGTGATAAGACAACCGATCTAAAGCATAATTATCAGTTTTTGCTCCATCAGAAGAAGACAGACATGTGCACCTGTTCCAGGCAAACTGAGTGCTAAAGATATGCTCAAAATAAAAAAAAGGAATTGTAATAATCGTTGCATTTGATATAGTGCCTTGTCACAACATCAAAGTGCTTCACAAAATTTACTGTAAAGTGTAGTGACTGTATTGTAGGCAAATGCAGCAACCACTTTACAACAACAACAACAAAATGCATTTGTTTCGCAAAGTCAAAGAGGAGGGTCTTGAGACGGGTCTTGAAGGAGGCAAGGGAGGGAGTGAGGTGGAGGGACTGCAGGATGGAATTCAGAGGGTGGGAGCAGTGTGGCTGAAGGCCCACCCGCCAATGGTTGGGTGGGCGAGGCAGGAGATATGAAGCAGGCCGAAGCCCGCTGAGCCGAGGAAGTGAGATGGTTGGTAGGGGGGTAGGAGGTTGCAGAGGTAGGGGGGAGCAAGGCCATCGAGGGCTTTGAAGGTGTGGACCAGGATCTTGAAGGTGTGGACCTCTGTGTGATGGGAAGTCAGTGGAGTTGGGCAAGGATGGGGGTGATAGGGTCACGGAGCCTGGTGCAGAGGAGGACACGGGCTGCAGAGTTCTGGATGATCTGCAGCCTATGGAGGGAGGATTTGGGGAGGCCGACAAGTAGGGAGTTTACATAGTCGAGCTTAAATGTTATGAATGCGTGTATCAGGGATTCGGTGGTCTGCGGTGTGAAACAGTGGCGAAGCCAGGCGATGTTGCAGAGGTGGGGGAAGGCAGAACAGGTCATGGCATGGATGTGGGGTAGAAAGGATAGTTGAGGGTCAAACAAGATGCCAAGGTTCTGGACTAGTTTAATAAGGTGGAGTTTGCATCCTTGGGTGGTGATGCTGTCAGCGCCTGAGGTGTGGAGGCGCTGACGGGAGCCAATCAGGAGGGCCTTAGTCTTATTGACGTTCAACTGAAGAAAGTTAGCTCTCATCCAGGACTTGATTTCTGACAGATATTCAGGCAGGACCATACTTTACAAACAGTATTGTCCCACAAGCAGACATCAATTTAATGATCAATTTTATCTGGCTGTTATTGACCAGGATACTTGGAGAAATTCCATTCCGTTTTCGAATAGTGCCATGGGATCTTTAATATCCACTTCAACATGGAGACAGGACTTGGTTTAATGTTTCATCTCAAGGACAGCACCTCTGACAACTCAGCCTACTCCCAGCACTACACTGGAGTGCTGGTCTAGACTGTGAGGTCAAAGTCCTGACTTGGGGTTTGAACCGGTAACCTTCTGACTCAGAGGTAAGGTTGCTATCAACTGAACCAGGATGAGCCCTAACATCCAACTTATAAGTTAATGTTTCAGAGTCCCAAACTTCATAGAGAGTACAGGAGATTGGAAGATTGATAATGGTTACCCATTTGAACTCCATAATTGGTGCGATTTCAGCGCTTTATACAGTGACCTTTTAAAATGCTTAAATTGCTAGATTAGTTTTCGCAGTAAACATAAAAAAACGAATCATAAGTTGATAAGTTCAGGCGTAGGCATTATTCAGATGTTGACATGTTGCCAATATCATGTTGATTCATTGCCAAACAAACAGTATAAATGAGCATGAATGTAAAACCTCACTCTATACAATATATGTTATGTCACCTGAGGCAATGAGTGCTGGATAAATAGATGAGGATGGGTCAAATGGTGTTTTCTTGTCTAATGCTTTTTCCATGTTCTTCTGTAAAATAAAGAGTGGCAATTAGTTAGCTTCAAGAGGCACTTGTCTTGATGGGTTAAAAAAAAAGTTTGTCTTTATTTGTTTGCAAACACAAATCATGTGATGTGAATTGTGCTGCGGCATCATCCCGCCCAGTTGTGTCTCATATGACTTCACTGAAATTGATGCCTCTCCTCAACGTGTGGGTCAAAATTATTTTAAAGCTGTGATCTCTCTCAGTTTTCAGATGACAGCTACGAAACTCTCCAGATTGTTGCTTGTTGATCTCGTGCGTTATGGATTCTGCCACCTGAATCCCTCCTCGTGGAGTCCTGTAGCTCAGTGGTTAGAGCACTCGCTTTGTATGCGAGAGACCTGAGTTCAATTCCAGGCAGGGCGAAACCTTGGGAAGTTTCCTTACTCCACATGCCTAATAATAATCCCTCCAAAAACAATAATAAATTTGTCATTTTCAATCTACGACTGTTTGTGGGACATTGCTGTGCGCAATTGGCTGCCGCGTTCGCCCACAAATCTACAGTCAATTCACTTTACAGTGTATTCTGTGAAGCGCTTTGGGATGTCCTCCTGATGTGACAAGTGCTATATCAAATTCAAGGATTATTATTATATTATTAAATGCGAGCCTCCCAGGCACCACAATCCACTCTCTGATGGTTCTGTAATGGTTTAATCGTAGGAAGTCATTTTCAAGATTATAGGGGTGTAATATTTCACAATTCTAAGGTGAAAGTATTCAGATGAGCTCTTGCACTGACAGCCAATGATTACTATATATTTTCATGGATTTTGCAGTTTCTAAAGTCGTGGCCAATGCTCCAGAATTGTAAATATTTAACAGTGATCAAAGAATTGTGTGACATCTACATCCACATAACTGATGTAAATTTGCCTTATAGAAAATTATCTGTTTATGGGTTGCTGGATCTCAGTATGTATGAGAATAATCAATGGTAAATATTGCATTACTGAACTGTTGGTTACATTTTATATTAAAATGAAATGCTGGTAATATCTGCTTCAATCAGTAATTTCAAATAAGCAAGGAAAATGCATGAACAGAATTTTGCAATGAAGCCAATTCAATTCAGCTACCATAACTACTTTGGAATGACCTTTGCAAACCATCTGATGTTAACATATCCTGTGGCGTGATTGTCCTTTTGTGCACAAGTTATAAATTGAAATTTCTGCCAAATTGAACTTCTCTTTATCCGGCAGATAACATGATTGACAGTGGTCGAGTGGAAGTAAGTGAAGAGAGCACAGTGGAATTGGAGAAAATGGTAAGTCTCAGAAGTCTCATACTGAAAGAATTCTCTGCCTCACTTGTTCACATTCTGGAACAAGATAAACAACATACTAGTGTCCATCAGCTAGGATTTCAAAATTTAAAACTTTATTACTGACAGCCCTGTGTCTAAGTCCAGGCTTAAGTTACAATCACCAAGTGTAGCTTGAAGATTACACACGGACCTTGAACATTTATTCCACTCTAAAACTTCAATTTCAGCTAAAGAATTGGGAAATATTTATTGTACACCGTGGGCTGCCAACCAATCTTCAAAAGATACTGTCAATAAAGTCTTACTTTATGGACTGTAGTCTCACAGTTTGGTTGTTGTAAACACTTCAGGAAACAAGCAAAGATACTGGATGCATCTGTGCTGGGAATACTCTATAAGATTATTAAGGATGACTGGTGAAGCTTTGTGACAGAATGACCATCTATGGTTGGAATGAGAAGGTTAATGCCTTTGATAGAAAGCAAATAGATAACGCTTCCCATAGTGATTTCATTTTTCATGGAAAATCACAGAGCAGGATGGCAAAATTTGAGCTACACTAGTTACAAGTCCAACTCTGTAAACCACTTGTCTTCTTTGGTGTTGTTTCCCTCTGTGATGTTTTTGTCATTTTCAGGGAGCTCATCTATTTCTTGCGGGCAAGTGAAGTGGCAGAGAAAATTATTTGAAATGGGATAACCCAAACTTTGTAGAAGAATAGTTCATTGGGCAAATAAATGAGAAAATATATGAGCTGCAGTCACTTTGTAAATACTGTTTGACACTACCACCTACACTTAAAGCTGTACACACTGAGTTACACTGTTCAGCTGTACTACAGTCTGCTCAAACAGAGCAAAGCTCTGCAAATATCCAAAGCTCTGCTCACCAGCCTCTGACTGCTCCATATCCCCCGCCCTGCCTGCCCCATGATCGGCGGTTGGGCCTTCAAGCTTTCTGTCTCCGCCCTTTGGAAATCCTGCAGTTCCTTTGCCTTACCCCTTCCCTTGCCTCCTTCAAGCCCCATCTCAAGATACTCCTGTTTTACCGTGCTTTCCGACACCATACCCCCACCCATCCCAGTCCTCCATCCCTCCTGATCCCAACCCCAAGCTCGGGTGCGAATCCTTTCCTGTCAAGTGTCATGGGACATCCTTCTGAAGTGAAAGGTGCTACACAAATGGAATGAGTTATTTGTTGTTGTTGTTATTTACTAGTCTGATATACCAGATTGTGGCAGAGGAGAGGGAACTGGGAGACACCTTAGATCTAAATCTTTGTCACAAGAATCTTCTACAACACTCGTTGCTGAAGTGGAATACAATGAGACAACAGTTGTTGGGGCTTCACAAGAGGCCTGAGCTACGAGTGTGTTGTTACCACCAAGCCAAGAGAGGTTGAGTGGGGCACAACCTAGTTCCTCTTGACCCCCTTCCTCTTCTTGAGTTTGTGAAAATCCTGGTGGAGGAAGCTCTGATAGTCAACTGGCCTTGGGTGCTTGTTTCATTTAAAGTCTTGGAGAAGACTTAGGTGATGGCACCAGGGAATCATGAGGGCAAAGATCCCATGACATTTCCAACCACCTCCATACTCACTCAAAGGCATTGGAATACCTGTTGCCTTCGGAGGCATTGAGGTGTCAGTAAGAAGGCTGCTTTTCTCTGCCTCCTCTTCCTTCTTCCCCTTTCCCCCCAAGAGAACCACTATTAGAGGCTCTCTCCCTCTCTGTATCTCTCACACAAGAGTCATATGCACAGTCAGGATAATGAGCATTCATTGCAGGGAAGTCAATGATGGGGACTAGAAAATGGAAACATTACACCAGAGCACATTGAAGATAAGCACACAGATAAGACTTGCAAATACTGTAATTAGTTTCAGCATCGGTACAATTGCTCTGTCATCTGCCTCATCAAGGGCTTCATCTTCTCCTGTTGTGCCTGAAATAACTATGTGCTTTCAGATGCCATTGTCTTGGTCACATATTTAATGGACCATTGAATAGCAAACTGTCTACCTCCTTCCAGGTCTTGAACTAATTGGTTTCATCCTTCCAGCAATCTCATTGTACCACCCCCCCATCAATGCAGCAAGTTGTTTTTTTTTAAATCCTGGCCTCAATAACCCCATTTGACAACCTGTTTCAGTTGTTAATCAGCTTCTGGGTAAAGAAGCTCCTGGTGTCTGTTTCATTTGCTCTTGTTCTGCTGTCTTAAAATATTCTAAAATATTGTTCTGGAAGTTACTTTTCATTCCCATTTTAAACATCCCTACAGCAAATGCAAGAATAATAATAATAATCCTTGCATTTGATATAGCGCTTTTCACGTCTTCTAGGTGTCTCAAAGCGCTTCACAGAATAGACTGTAAAGTGAATTGACTGTATATTTGTGGGTGAAATGCGGCAGCCAATTGCGCACAGCAGTGTCCCACAAACAGTCGTGGATTGAAATGACCAATTTCTTTTTTGAGGGATTATTATCAGGCGTGTGGAGTAATGAAACTTGCCCAAGGTTTTGCCCTGCCGGGAATTGAACCCAGGTCTCTTGCTTGCAAAGCGAGTGCTCTAATCACTGAGCTGCAGGACTCCACGATCAAAAGGATTATTATCATACATCTCTATGAGGTCCAGATATGCATGCAAAGCAATTTGCGGTAGGGAAAACAGGAAACCACACTATGAACTGAAGGTGCAGAGTATCTTACCTTGTGTTTTCCTGTGACTCCAAACCTGTTTTCATGATATTAGGAAGTCTTCTGTTTCTTATGGCTGAATAGATTGAATCAGTGAAGTTCAACAATCCCACTTGTAACAAAACTATGTACAACAAACTTTTTATGGACCTCAACCCAAGCTGCTGAACTCCTGAGGGAAAGTTCTGAACCAATGAATGAATGAATTTTTTTTCAATACCAACAGAGCATTATTCATAATAATAAATGTCTCAAAGCACTTCACAGTCAAGTGTAGTGACATTTTTCTGTAGGAAAATGCAACATCTATTTTGTGCACAGGAATCTGCCACAGAGTGAGGTGAATGATAAATTCATCCAGAGGACTCTTGGCTAGAAGAAACTCCCTTCCATTTTTGAATAGAGCCAGGGTAGTCCTATAGCTCAGTGGTTAGAGCACTCACTCGCAAGCAAGAGATATGGGTTAGATTCCTGGCAGGGCGAAACCTTGGGCAAGTTTCCTTACTCCACATGACTGATAATAATCCCTCAAAAAAAAAACAATAATAAAATTGGCCACTTCAATCCATGACTGTTTGTGGACACTGCTGTGCGCAATTGGCTGCCGCGTTTTGCCCACAAATATACAGTCAATTCACTTCACAGTGTATTCTGTGAAGCGCTTTGAGATGTGTAGAAGAAAAGTGCTACATCGAATGCAAGGATTATTATTATTATTATTTATAATGTCCAGCTGAAGAATGGGCAGGCAGGGAAATATCGTCTGCTTCCCAAAGGTAATCAAGCAAAACTCAAGAATATCTATTCATCCCTATCTTGCCACAGTTCAGTCCTGGATACCTGACCTGCACAAATAACAACCCTTCACCTGGGCCCAGCAATGCATGAACCATCATTTCCCATGAAGTATTTTATTCTTCAAGTTTAAGCTTGTGCTCATAACCCTTGATCTCACTCTTTACTGTACATTTATGCAATTTTTTTCTGACGCAGCAAGAATTACTTTTACAGGGTTTTAATTCTATGACAGTATTACATTTGACCCTTTATTCCCTCGCAAACCCATATTCCCAGACACATAACTCTTTGCTCGCTGAAAAAGTCATGTTTTAAAGTTGTAATCTGTATACTGTAAATAATTGCATTGTATCTCAAATTCATTGCAGCAGTCCTGCCAAGTGCCACTCTTTAAGACTGACAATTGTTCAATTTGGTTGAAAAGTATAATGCAACCTGTTTTGCTGTGTGTCACTCTCAAACATGAACACTGCTGTAAATGGGCTTGCAAATCATATCCCTCTTACTGACCATAAATGTCACTGTTAACATTTTCGTGGGGTTGACAGCTCTGTTGCAGTATGAAGGGAATGGCAAAGTGAAAAAGTACTGTCAAATATGTGAGGTTCGTATGAGTATGGACATGTCTATGTAGTACTTGTCTGTCTTAAACTGAAAAGAATATCACTAAGATCCTAAATAGTGCTCAGTGACAACAATACTGTCAAACTGTACCCTGTACAAAGGTAGAGTACAAAGACTGAGGTGGAAACAGACAACTGGTGACATATTGGAATGGAGTTGTTTGGGTTTTTTAATCCTTCATTTATTTCATCTTCTCTTTTGAGTGCCCTGGTTCTCACACATTCACACACAAACTCACTCTCACACTGGTATGCAATTCTCCAGCCAAGTACGTGAGAAAACAGCCATATCTTGTTCAGCAGCCCATTCTGCTCTGTAACTGAACAATAGATTCGCAGAATAGATGGAAATTCAGACCTGAATGGGAGGAGGTTGACAGAGTTGCCAGGGGCCAGAGCTCACTCAGAGACACATATTCTTACGTGACAAACCGCTGTGTTGCTCATCTGGGATATTGTACAATCAGGTACGACGCCCCTTTAATCCCCTTTGATAAAAGTCAAATCAACAACAACAAAATTTATATAGCGCCCTTCGTGCCAGATGGCATCTTGGACTGCTTAGATATGGTTGCTGTGGATGCCCTTTAGAAGAACATAAGAATTTGCCAGACAAAAGAATACCGAGGTCCATCTAGTTCACCTTCCACCATCCTGGTAGTGACATGATATTCATGTCTCAAACTATATACTGTATCCTGAGATTTTTTTTAGCAGAAATCTACCTAATTTGTTTTTGAAAGAAACAAAAACTGTCACTGTCTCCCTGGGGAGTCTGTTCCATAAGTTTACTACTCGCTTACTGAAGTAATGTTTCTGCAGATTTGTTCTGAATTTACCTCCTTCAATCGCAGGCCGTACACTCTGGTTCTACTGTTCAATACAAGATAAAACAGCTTATCATGGTCTACATTTTCTATTTTCTTAAAGACCATCATGATTTTGCCAGACCGTAATCATATTATGGTTTTGTATTTCCTCACAAGTATCGTCCAACGATTTCAATGCCTCCATGTTTTATAAGCTTATCACATAAGCAACTCAAAAAACAATGACAGTCAGGTAGATATTTATTTTCTTAAAAAAAATGCATATTTTTTTTCTATGTTCTGCTTGTTTGATTTCCACAATGGTTGGCTGGCTATGTGTCCTGAACATCAATTCAGTAGTTGTCCAACTGTGGCGACATTTGTCGGTTGGTCTATGGGACGATTCATTCATGTCAATCATTTCCCTGCAGTAGTAGGATGCTGTCCAAGTCACCACCGACTTTGTTCAGGTTTTTGTGTGTGATTTGAAGTGATCACATTTTCAGAAAGGAAAGTGCTAGATTTGGCATCTGAAGTGGACATTCTCCATGTGCTCCTCCTGAGATATAAGGTGCTTGACACTTATTAAAAAATAGTAATAACCATTGCCTTTGATGTAGTGAGTTAATATTATCATTGAGATTTCTGAAGTGCTTCACGAGATTTCATTGTAAAGTATGGTGACTGTGTATTTGTGGATGAACATGGCAACCAATTTACGCATCGCAACATCCCACAAACAGCCATGGATTAAACAATTAATTTGTTGGCCAGAGCACCAGGAGAAACTCTTTTCACTTTTCAATTCCTGCCATGGTATCTTTTACATCCACCTGAAGAGTGACCTCTGTTAATATCTCATCCAAAGTATAGCACCTCCAACATTACAGCACTCCTCCAGTACTGCACACGAGTGTCATCCAAGACTATGACCTTAAAGTCCTGATGTTGGAGCAAACCTTACCCCATTGGGTTAAACAGTCAGTTGTCTCCTCAGCTCTTCAGTAACGTTTAAAAAAAATTATAACCTCAAAGTGGTCACCTGAGAGATTTTGAGTAGACAACAGGGAAGATTTGGTCACATTTAAACTGTAATGGATATGAATTGCTCTGTTCCTGAAACCTTCTCCTCCAAATAGTATCAGAAACAGTGTTCCAGAATGATTCTTCCTGCCTTTGCCCCACTTATACTGAACAAATTGCTGACAAAAGGCAATTCTCCAGTAAAAGTGCAGCAGAAATGCAGCATTATGGTTACTCTGAATATTATTAGTCGAGAAATTATTATTATTAACATGTATATCAAATCCTTGCATTTGATAAAGAGCTTTTCACATCAAGAGGATGTTTGAAAGCACATCACAGGATATACTGCAACGTGTAGTGACTGTGCAATATGCAGTTGAAGGCCTACACATAATACAAAACTTCTTTATCTTAACACCACTAATAGACATTTCACTTTTGTCTTTAATAGTTTGAAGCGGAGGTAACAGCAAGGCAAGAACTTCAGGCAGCCGTGAAGAAAAAAGAAGCTGATTTTATCAAGAAAAAGGATGCACTTGATATTGAAAATATGCTGCTGCAAAAGGAAATGTTCAAATTGCAAGATAAGGTAAGACTGTAACAGACTCTGAAGTGGCTTTATGTGTGAAAAAAGCTGTTTCAATTCCACAAAGTAAAGATACTGGCAATCCAGGTAGGAATACAACAACATCAACAGCAAGTTCAATTTATAGAGCTCTCTTCAGGTAGAGTAATGTCTTGCCATTTGTGGATATTGAGCAGGAAGGGGCCCAGCATAAGAGCGACGCTGGAGAAGATCACAGAGTTAGGGAGGTGTGAGGGCATGAAGAGATTTGTAGCTAAGTGTGACAACCTTGAAGTTGATTGTTGGGAGACGGCGGAACCTGATGACGACAGGAGTTTTCCACATTCAAAGTTTTGTGCAGGTGAAGATGTGATCGCCACGGTTTTAGATGAGCTGGAACTTGTGAATGGAGATGGGAAGACCAGCAGGGAGGATCATTTGAAAAGTTGACTCTGGAGGTTATGAAAGCATGAATCAAGGTTTTCCTCCCTCTCTCAACTATTCTTTCTCCCCTTCTCTCTTTCAGTCTTTAAGTCCCTCCTCAAATCCTACATCTTTGAAAATGCCAATGGCCACTTCCCGCTTACCCCTCTCTCTTACTCGATGTCCAACACCATCCCTGTAAACCAGTACTCTGCATGAAAGGCGCTATATAAATATAAGTTGTTGTTGCCCATTTTAGCTGGTACAAGTTGAGGCTCATCCAGGACTTAATGGCAGGTGGTCAGAACATCAGTGGATCTGCAATCAACATAGACACCATCTGATAGCTTATTGTCCAGATGGAGTAAAATTTTAAACCTAAGTGTTCATTCCTTATGCATGTTTGGTTTTGAAGCTGCATCAATCCTGATTTACATAGAATTGTATTGGTTTGCTGATCTGTCTTCTCTGCAGGAATACCAGGGAAGAGAAATTACCTAGATTAAAACACTGTAGAGATTAGAAAGACCAATAGAGATTGTGAGCATCCACTGGTTAGATGGATATGCCAATATCAGCATTGAAAGGGCATCAAATAAATATTTTATTTAGCAAAATCACAGTGCATTTCTGAGGATGGTGACCTTTTGTTAAGATTGGAGCTCTCTGCCTATGCTTATCAACTTTCAACAGCATATACCAAACACATTAAAAACGGCTGCATGGGTATTGAAGGGCATAGCTTTCAATATTTTTTAAAATCCAACATGGAAAAAAAACAAGTGTTGTTTTAATATTTTTTTTCTGACTTTCGTTCAATTTCAAAACATATATTTGTGCGATGATTTCATCAAGGAGCTTGTAGAAGCTTCTTGTTTCAGATCAATGAGGTTTAAGTATTGTAAAGTCTTATCATCTCTATGCTTTTTTATGTTTATTTAGATTCTGTTTGGCAACTTTATTTTTCTGTCCATCTTCTCCTTCTTCTAAGCCTCTCCACAAGGCAATCACATGGCATGTTAGGATGTTTGTTTCCTGACCTCTGCCAATGAGACACGAGAGAAAAAAAATCTAAGATTGGCTGAAGGATTTGTAAATAAATGGCAGTCGTATATTAGCTGACCTTTTGGATCTCTGCTCCGTTCACCTACACAACACGCAGTCACTGCACTTCACAGTAATTCCTTGAACCATTTTGAGAGGTCCTCCTGATATGAATAGACTACAACAAAAGCAAGGATTAAGACTCTTAGACACTGAATTCACAGAGATGGGAAATAAGATTAGCGGTTCCAGAGGGTCAGACACTATACGTGTGGGATTCACTTATTTAGAAATCCACTCACCAAGTCTCGCAAATTTAGACTACACCAAAGCCTATTGTCTCAACCAGCTGGTGACTCTCAGTCACTGTTAATTGTACCACAGCTCTTGACAGACAGGCCAAAGGCCAGCTCAGTGCAAGCAAAACCTGCCTGTCACGAACAGTGACTGTTGAGGATTCCAAATTATTTGATTCCTTCAAACGCTCAACAATTTTTCCCGAGTACCCAAACTGCTCTCCTGTCACAGTTTAATTCAGCGCTCTCCGCTCCTATATATCAAAGGCTTCAAGATCTTCTTATTTAGAATATCAAATCTCCTGGTGCGTTAATGACATTATGCTGATTTTCCAGTTGAGGCATATAGTTGGGTCATTGTAAAAGAAGCCTTGAAGTGTTGCCAGCCAATGCCATCTCTGATGTATGAGTGCTTAGTGTTGTCATTGGAAGCAGAATAGACATTCCTTTCTCCGCCACCCTTATTCATCACTTTAATGAGTTTCAAAGATATGCAAACTGAATTTAATTTAATTGAATCCTTATTCATCCTTGCACATTCAGGGTGAATCTGCATCTTCTGATATACTGGTATAGAATTTCCCTGAGCATCACATCAAAGTATTCTTGTCATCTTTTCAAAGTGCTCATAACTACTTCACCCCTAAATCATTCCAGATATGGGGGAATAGGGTTTGGGAGAAAGGAAGCATGACCATATTGACCTGTAAATGGTACAATATTTTAGTTGGCTGGAAATCGACCGACTGAAATAAACCAAGGATTTAAACCTTGTTTATGTATTCAGGGGATGAATTCTACTTGGTTAGGCAAATGTTATTTTGTGTTGCGGTGATCAATCACATATCAATGCCTATGGTATCACATTTTCCACTCATCCATCGTACTGCACTCTCATGGGTATGTGACAATTTAACCCTTTCGGTGCTGCACCTGTTTGCCCTTGAATTTAATGGGGCAGAATTTGATGTCTTTCTTAACACTTGTTTCCTTGTACTAATTTACCCCAGTTAAATTTACCCCATTTATTTCTGAAGCAGAAACAATGACTCATTATTCTTTAGCCAAGATGACCCATGTATCTAGGATATATTTTTAATTTATATTCCAAGAAACAATCCATTCTAATCATAATTCTGTGAGGAGAAAGTCTGAATTTCTTGTTTTTTACTCTGCTACTTCCAATCCTAAATTCATTCCCTCTTGTCCACGACTCCCATACCAATGATTAGTATTTTTCCTTTCTCAATAATATCATCCTGCAATCTTTGCTGCTCCAATGGCAATAGTCCTAACCTCATTAGCCTCTTTTCATAGAAAATTACAGCACATTTACATTTATATGATGTCCATTCACATATGGAGTGCATAGTCCAGGATTTGGAACTGTTGGGGTAGGGGGCCAAAGGAGGGTGGGTGCCGAGCAGAATTGGGGGGGCAACAGCACAGTTAAAGCAAAGTAGAAGGCCAATTGTGCTAGCGTGTTTGTGCCAGCTATTTTAAATATGCTTATTTACTGATAAATGTAACATACTTTCAGTTGTTATCTTGTTGGGAAGAAGACTAAACGTTTTTGGAATAGTTTAGAATATGCAAAGTAAGATTTTTTTCTCAGGAAAAGCCCCATGCAGCCTGTCTCTTATTCTAAATCCCATTATATTTGCCTCTTACAAAAGCAACAACAACAATTTGCATTTATATAGTGTCCTCCAAGCCGGGTGGTGTCTCAGAGTGCTTAACAATGGCGGAGCCCAAGGCCGAGCCAAGGGAAGGGGAGATGACCGTAGGCGCGGTCGAAGATAAAGGTCTTCAGGCGCGACCTGAAGATGGGGAAGGAGGGGCGAGGTGATGGGGTTGAGGGAGGGAGTTCCAAAGTTTTGGGGTGTAGTGACTGAAGGCATGGCCGCTGATGGTGGAGCGGAGGATTCGGGGGACATGGAGGAGGCCAGACCCAATGGAGTGGAGGCAGCAGGTACTACTGTGGGGAGAGAGGAGGTTAGAGATATAGGGGGGTGCCAAGGAATGGAGGGATTTAAACACTAGAGTGAGGATTCTGAAGTCGATCCACCCTGTGACAGGGAGCCAGTGGAGATTGGCAAGGACTGCGGTAATCGGGGTGCAAAGTTTGGTGCGGGTGAGAATACAGGCGACAGAGTTTTGAATGAGCTGAATTTTCTGAACAGTGGCTTATTTATTCTTTCCTCATACGTCAAGGATAACATATCCTTCCTCTGTAACTTACTCTGTTGCTTTCCTGTTTGGACATTTCCTCAACCAAATTTTGTACAAATAATGGAATTTCCCAGTATAATACTGAGAAGATGGCTGTATAGAATTGTACATATTACGTAGAATCTTTCACAAGAAAACAGGCCATACAGCCCAACTAATTTATAATAATAATAATCCTTGCATTTAATATAGTGCCTTATCACGTTGTTGAAACATCTCAAAGCACTCGACAGAATATGCTGTAAAGTGAATTGACTACATATTTTGTGGGTGAAATGTGGCAGTTAATTGCGCACAGTAGTGTCCCAAAACAGTCATGTCCAAATTATTATTATTATTATTATTTAAAAACATTTTTTTTTGAAGGGATTATTACCCAGGAAAAGCGATTCGCCAATCAACTAACAACCGGGTTCCTACTTACTGCTAGGTATAGAGGTGTGTGGAGTAAGGAAACCTGCCTAACGTTTTGTCCTGCCCAGGATTCGAGCCCACTCCCTCTCGTATGCGAGGTGAGATTCTCAGCAATACCCTGCAGGATGCCTTCTGTGAGTTCCTTGTCCTGAATATATTTTTTTCTGGTGATTTGAGTACTGGGATAGTATTGAATTGATAGAGGTAGCATTTCATGGATGAGTCATTAAACTGAGCTCCCATCTGTTCTTTAGTTCCTGCGGTGCTATTCAAATAGCCAAGAAAGTTTCTCCCAGTATCCTGGCCAACAGTTCTCCAGATTGATTGATCATTCACCCCTTGGCTGTTTATAGGAACTTATGGTGAGAAAAATCACTGCCTCTTTTGCCAAAAAATCCCCAGTCACTACACTTCACTATTGTTAAACCACTTTGAGATGTTTCAACATGATACATTTTTATAAAAATAAGCTTTTCTATCCATAATGAGATGCAGTCACACTGCTGTTTCATCTCCACCATCTGAATTTCTATCCAGTTAAGGCAATAGTGGGGATGTGCTACATTGTTGGAGGTGTTGTCCATCGAATGAGACGTTAAACTAAGCCCCATCTGC